TCCAGCGAAGCAAGTGCGCGCGATCCAGATCCAATCTAACGACTCTGGATCCGACAGCGAATCTGATGGATCGAGCGGATCTGACTCTGACATTGACAGTCATCGCAGGATTTTCCTTGCAGCAAGTGAAGATGTCACCCCGAAAGTGGAGAAAGAGTCGGCGAACCTGGATTCACGACTTCCGGATCGTGATCATAGCCATCAATATCACAACTCGAAGATCCACGGTAATGGGTTTAACCGCGATCGGTGTTCGCACTGTGGATCCAGAAAGCACTCGGATCTTGGTTGCTGGAGGCGTGTTACGTGCACGAAGTGCGGCAAGAGAGGACACCCCTCGGATCACTGCCTCTTCGTGTGTCGCGGATGTGGAGAACTGCATGACATGGGAAAATGCCCGATGGAAGAGATCTATAACCAGATCCGTCAATGGTTTAACCCCACGAAGCAAATGGGTATGTTACCCGAAGCTGCTGAGAAGATGTTAAACTAGGACGCTCGTCGGGGTGGAATCCGATACGAGCCGAGCGTTCTAGATACTGCATCTATGCATTTGTGAACAAGACATCGGTAGATCAGGTTAGTAAAAGACCAGATCTACACGGTAATACACGTGATCTGCATGGGAAACGCACCTTCGCAATCTCAAGCCTTTTTCAAGTCTTCGCCAAGTCGACGAATGTGCCAGATCCGAAGTCACCATGAGCGTAGATCTTCAACCAGGAGAATCACGAGATTACTGGAAACAGCAGGATCCAGATCTATGGTTTAAACCCACATATCATGAGGTTACTCCGGAGATCCAGAGGCCTAGCAAGATCTCGGAGTACTGACGGTCAACGGCCATGGATCTACTACCGGGAGAATCCCGTGGTTACTGGAAGCATCATTCTCCAGGTAAATGATTCCGTCAAGCGAAGATCACAGGCAAGTTCCACAATGAGAAGGCGGTCTTACTCTTAGATACTGGCGCCGAGGTGTCCATCGTGGACACCGCCTTTGCTCGTAAGGTTGGGTGCTATATCGACTCGAGTCAGCTCCAGGACTGTGCTCCAGGACTGTGTGGGAATTGGTGACAATGTGTACCAGACGGAAGGAAGAACCCGGATCAAGGTAACTCTCGCTGGATCACTGGTACATTTCTTCGATATCTGGGTGGGTAATCTGACTGGCCAACAAGCTATACTTGGTATGGACTTCATGGTTCCATCCGGGATCCGCCTAGATCTAGCCCATGGATCGATCAATTTGCCGGACGAAGTCCGGATCCAGCTTAGTGGGAGGCGGCAGCTTTATAGCGATAAGGCGACAATCGTAAACGTCGGCCAATATCTTCGGATCCAAGCAGGAGAGTCTGTGGAACTGCCATTGCGCCTGAGGTCGTCGATCCAGGACAAGCTGTGAGTCACGCGTGGGGATCAATGGGTGCCGACAATATCCGGTGGACCAGGGAGAACGAAATACATCTCGATCACCAACATCAGGGACGAAGTGTTGATCCTGCATCAAGACCAACGGGTCGGAATCTGGCTGGCTGGAGACCACGTGCCACGGATGCCGGGTTTCATATCGATCGGCTCTTGTCGTTACATGGAGTGGCAGAATCTAGCGTTAGAAGCTACGACAGACACTCGATCTGAGGAAATGGAGGTCAAGACCCCGCTGGTGCCCGCGGTGGAGCGGCCCGAGTACGAAACCCCGCGTGCAATACTCCAAATACCGAAGACGACGTTGATCCAGTGTCGGAAGGCCGAGGCGAGTCGGGATCAAGATATTCCTGACTGCCCATCCTCGGACGAGTCGCCGTCGGACAAGTCCCCGTCGGACAATCGCCGTCGGAGATTCGACCGTTGGATCTAGCGTCTGTCGTAAGTTAGGAGTCGGATCTATCGTCTATTGCAGCAGAAGACTCTAAATCGCTTGCCGTAACGGTCAAGGAGGCGCTAGAAGGTCTCGATCAAGTGGCGTCTCACGTGTGGGCGACTAATCCGCCGTTTGGTGAAACCACAGGCATAGTGGAAACGCGAGAAGAGGATGACCGAGATGAAATTGGGGTCGCCAGTCAGGATCAACTACATTCGAGAGGTCAAGATAAAGGAACATCACCGTCGAAATGCGGCGGATCGGATCTGCCACCAATGATGAGTGTACAATCTGGGACGGGACATGTGACCGGTGATCCGTTGAACGACAAGTGCGCCGCATCTATGTCGCAAAAAAACGGACATGGATCTATCACCTGTTGTTGAAGATCAACCAAGCACATCGAATCTAGACCTCAGCTGGGACTCAGATCAAGATTACGATGAATGTGTATACTACCATGAAGGAAGCGATCTATACGCAGAGGACGTCGATGGTCAGATGGCGGTACTGCCGGAAGTGCCTGTGACGACGGAAGATGTGAAGATCGAGGATATTCAGCTATGTGGATCTGATAATTAGACCCCAGAAGAAATTGATCGACTGCACCAAAGGATCTGGAAGTTCTGACACCTCTTGATCGGTAAAGGTAATACCCTTCCGCCGGCGGCTAGAGGTGTGGTGTGCGATATCGACGTCGGAAGAGCGAGGCCTATCGCCCTGAAGTGTCGTAAGTTGCGGATCCAGTTCAGGGAGAAGCTGGCGGACTTGATCAAGGGTCTGTTGTCTGCTAAGATGGTCAATTACTGTAGATCACCATGGGCCTCCCCGATCGTGGTGATCATCAAGAAGAACGGAGTGGATATCAGGTTGTGCATTGATTATCGGTTACAGCTTAACTCAGCTGATGATCTATCCAATGCCCTTGATCAACGACCTACTTGAAGATCTGGAGTCGACACTTTGGTACTGTTCTTTGGATATGGCGAGTGGATTTTGGGTAGTGAAAATGACGGATCATGCTCGCTTGATCTCGGCTTTTATCACTCCCTTCGGGTTATTTGAGTGAAACCGGATGCCTTTCGGCTTGAAGAATGCGCCCCAGATCGATCAGCGCATGATCGACAACGCGCTATACGGATTCACCCGGATCCCGAAGTCTGAAGATCACGGAGGTACTTTGGATGTGTTTGAGGACGGGGAACCGGTGGATTCAGGCAAGCCATCGGTGCTTGGGCGTAGATCATATATCGACGACATCCTGATCCCAGCCAATAACTGGGATCAACTATGTGATCGAGTCGAAGGCTTTCTCGAGGCGTGCGATAAGTGGAATCTGTCGATCAGTGTGGTCAAGATTTTCTGGGGAATGCCTAAGGTGGGATATCTGGGGCATAAGGTCTCCCAAAAGGGACTAGAGGCGAACCCGAAGGATCTGTCGGCGTTGACGGATCTAGCATTCCCTGGATCACTTCGAGCCATGCAGTCATTTTTGGGAAGTCTGAACTATTACAGCCGGTTCATTGAAGACTATGTGATTTATGCGTAAGTTCTGTATGAATTGCGAGAAATCGACTTTGCTGCGATGGTGAAAGAGGCTACCCAAGGGCGGATCCAACAAATGCTGGAAGCGGGGAATGGGGATCGAGGATCACAGGAAGGTCAGGAAGTCGACCACCGAAAGACTTTAGATCTGGAGGCGCCAGATCCTACCAAGGTGGATCCGCGTTGGATCCATGCCCATCGATCTTTCAGTGCGCTCAAAGCCAAGATCACTACTACTCCAATCCTACGGCATTTTGATCCAGATCGGAGGGCCACGGTTATGGTATATGCTAGCGATTGGGCCATTTCGGGATCATTGATGCAGGAATACGACCAGATCTACTACCCCGTGATGTTTGCAAGCCGCACTCTGAAGTCGAATGAGCTAAACTATGGCATCGCGGAGAAGGAGGTATTAGCCCTTCTGAGGACCTTGGATCTTAACTACAATGCACTGATCGGACGCCCGATCCACGTGCTGACCCGACACTCAACATTGACGTGGCTCTTCAGATCCACGGCCCTGCAGGGGCGTCTGGGACAGTGGGCTGCTCTGTTGTCGCCTTGGACTCTGGAGATCACCAAGTGTGTCAAGGAAGAGGACGAGATCTTAGGATCATTGGCGGCCAGTATCGCTAGATCCGAAGTGGATAAGGCATTGATCTCCATTGCTCCAAAAAAGGAGCCAGGACGCAAGATCCAGGCTCCGATCCCCACCATTGGACGAGATGAGGATCTATATGTCGTTAGCTTCGACGGATCTGCTCGTGTCAAGAGAGGTGGAGGCGCATACAGCGCAATCTTGTGGAAGCTTCCCGAATGGAGGGTGTTGAATGCTATACCTGGTTATGCCGAAGGCCTGACGGTGAACGAGGCGGAATACCATGGGCTGTTGCTATGTTTGGATCTGTTGGAGGATCTGGATCCGCGACGTCTGGTGATCTGCGGAGACTCGAACCTGGTGATCCGACAAGTACGAGGTGAGATCGATTGTAAGGCACCGGGTCTGACACTGTTACGCCAGCGGGCTTTAGATCGACTACGTACCTGGCCAGATCATGAGCTGTTACATGTCAAAAGAGATTGGAACGGGGTGCTGACAGCTTAGCAAGCGCTGCTCTGCAACGACAATGTGGGATCGAGATAGAATCTGACATGGAGATCCAGGATCTCATAACTTTGAATCGGTTTGATGAGATCCTGATAGTGAAAGCCGAAGACGAGATCGCACAGATATCAGCTGTGACGGCCCGATCAAAGGCTATATCTGGAGTGCGTATTGGATCCGATCCAGACTCCCTACGAGAGGAAGTCGTGAGAGAGCTACGGATCGAGCGGGTCCGACAAGCGCAGGACGGATCCTGGGTTTAAAGAAGTATTTGGTTGGGGAGATCCGGGATCTGACACAAGAAGAGGCTAATATGTTTGGATCTATTGCTATGAATTATGAGGTGGATCAGTCGGATCTCCTTTTCTACTGCCCGACAACTAGAGAAGCAGCTGCAGATCGAGATAAGTTGATGCGACTGGTGATACCTGAGATGCTTCAACGGGACATCTTACATCACTATCACACGAGCCTACAGGGAGGCCATCAAGGGATCGGTCGCACCTACGATCGGATCCGTGATCATTTCTACTGGGGAGGGATGTACAAGAGTGTACAGCGATATGTGGGAGAATGTGTCGACTGCGAAACAGGCAAAGGACGACCCCGGATCCAGGGCGAGTCACCTGGTAACCTTCAGGCGACATATCCATTCCAGATCATTGCCATGGATCATATACCTTCATTGTCTAGATCCTTCAA